AAAAAGATTATCCTTCAAGATTTTTAATTTTGAATGAGTTTTGAAGAATCTTAGTTTAATTTAAATCTTACTAAAGGATAAAAATTTCAAAGGATATTTTTCAAATTTTCTGATTAATACTGCCACATTCACAATCAACCCGAGAGGACATGTCAAACACTAAACCACTTTATTTTGTTTATTCAATATTATGAAATGCATTTTTTGAAAGTAGGGAAAGAATTTGTTAAAAAAGTTGAATTTAAAAATTTAATTAAAAAATGGTCTAAATGTGCAAATTATCAGGACATGCACAACTTATTCGACTAAAAACATATAGTTTTTCAGCCTTGTAATACACCCCTTCAAATCCACTATGCTTTCTCCATTAATTAATTTTTTCGATGTCCTTGGGAGAAATCCTGCCGTACATATGTATCTTTTCTAGTAGGAAAAAAATTTTTTGTATCTCCTGAAAACGTGTATTCTGAACTTTTTTTAATTTGGTGCGAGAGGGCGTATGATGAATACAAAATTATTAAATTCAACTTTTCTACTACATTCTTTTTCCTTAAAAAAATGCCTTACAAAATATTAAATAAACCAAATCATATGCTTTCTTATTTTATATGTCCCTTCAGGCTGTTCAATTGTTGTAAATCAGTACGATATGAAAATTATATTTAGTTAAATTTTTTTTATGTCATACGGAAGTACAACCATTATATCAACCCGAGAGGACATGTCAAAGACTAAAACGATTTATTTTGATTATTTAATATTATGAAAGGTATTTTTTTAAATGAGGAAACAACTTTGTAATACAAGTTCAATTTAATAATTTAATGTTCATCATACGCCCTGTCACACCTATTAAAAAATGTTCTACAATTGCAATCCTTCAGGACATACACAAATTATTCGACTGGAAAACATATCGTTTTGCTGCCTTGTAATACACCGTTAAAAAGCCGCTATACTTTTCGATTAATTAATTTTTTCGATGTCCTTGAGAGAAATCCTGTCGTCCTATTAAAAATTTAAAAATGCAGATTTACTAGAAATGCGTTCAAATATGGGACACATTTCCAAAGGGCAAAAAAAGTATGTGGTAGCTAAATCTAGCCACCAAAGGGATAAAACGGCAACACTGATCAGTGATCACCAACTACATACGTATGTATGTATATTAGGCCGGGTCGATTTGTGGGGAGGCAAAAAAATCGCCCATTGCTCTGTGAAAATCATATTCTAGGGGTCAAAATAAGAAACTTTGCCGAATGAACCATACCTCTAAAACGAATTCTGATGTCCCCCAATTTGGGTCGAACTTTTGGGTAGGGGCAAATTTTGAAAAATCCCACTTTGACCCATTTAGAGTGCTCCAATCGAGTCCAAATGTATGACCGACCCCCACTAACTTTGGAGGCCCGACCCACCCATGCCAGTGGCACACCTCCTGGAACCCCCGTGGGGGTTCACCATACAAGCATTTCAAAAAATCGCCGGTTTTGCACTTTACATGAAAAAATCAGCGAAATGCCTATGTTTTTTCTTTTTGGAGTTTATTTTTCTTTTTAGAAATTTATTTAGTCAGAACATATGTAAATGAAAAAATGAATTTAACTTAGTAATAGAAAAGAAATAAAAAAAAAATTATTAGAAATTAGCGTTTTTACAACCCTTTTAAAACCAAGGCATCACTGTGATGCATTTGCATGTCGTAAACATAGTTGTGTGGGTTTTTTATTCAACCGTTTTAACAAATGAAGGTATCACTGTGACACAATTGCAAATCGGAAAATTGCTTGTGTGCGTTTTTTAAGACACAGCTGCATGTCGTAAACTTACTTGTGTAGTTTTTTTATAGCACCTACTTAAGAAATGAAGGTTGTTTTTACAACCCTTTTTGTGGGTATTTTAAGGCACCTTCTTAAGAAATGCGCGTTTTTTGCAACCATTTTAACAATTAAGGTATCACTGGAATGCACCGCAACCCTTTTAAACAATGAAGGTATCACTGTGACACAATTGCAGATCGTAAAATTGCTTGTGTTGTTTTTTTTTAAGGCACCACAAGACACAGCAGGTAGAATTGAAATTACCATTTCATTCTTATTACCTCGTCTCGTAGACCATATATAACGCAACAGTTTTTGTGAATGCATTAAGTCGTTGTGAAGAACTCAAAGTGTGAAGTGCTAATTTCAGATAAAAAAATATTTCAAAAAAAATAATAAGTGAAGTGACCATTCCAAATCAAAAAGTTTACAATGAATCCACCATCCTCTACACCGCAAGATGAAGCAACTACATCAACAACTATCGAAAACCCAATGAGTCATATACCCAAGCATGATGTTACTGTTTTTGGTGTGTCTACTGATTTAACTGATCTTAATTTACCAACCCATCTGGATATCTTGAGATATTATTTTTACTTAAGCGAACGTGCTAAAACAGAACAAAAAAAGTTTTCCCATAAATCATTCACTATTCAAGTACAAGATAAGTTGATTGGAATTTGGGAAAAACTTGGTATGGAAATAATGCTGAAAAAAAGTGTATTTAATAAATTTAATAAATTGCTTGACAAGTATCAAGAGCAAATCAAGAGAAGAAACAACACCCAACAATTTACAGAGTATGTAAAATCTCTGGAAACAATTTTTTACATTGGAACATGTAAATGCGATTTGAAGGCAGCTCCATGTGTATGCGGCTGGGTTCCCAAACGCCTCAAAGAGTTCATGCACGATCAACATAATCAGAGAAGACTAACAATGGATGCATTTGTGATGGAAACTGAAGAGCAAGGAGCAACGTCTATGTCATCAATACCAACATACCAAGATCCCGGTTCAAGAAGATATGGATAGAAGCACAAGTTCACAATACACAGAGATATACGATTGTTTTAACTTTGTCTTGGTATGTGACAGATTTGGTGTGCCTGACAGAGTAGCATCAGCATTGGGAACCGCTCTTTTGCAAGATTTTAAAATTAAAGATAAGCATGGCAAACCTCTCATCATGGATAAATCGAAAGTTCGCAGAGAAAAAGAGAAATGCAGACAAGAAGTGCTTCGCAAACGGTTAGATGATCCCAATTTGTTAGCGTTTTCATTCGATGGCAGAAAAGATGATACTTTAACGATAGATAAAATTGATGAGAAGTATCATACTAGGATGGTAAAAGAACCTCATCTTGTTATTTGAGAGAACCCAATTCTGAATTGATTGGTTACGTAAGACTGGAACATGAAACCGCTGAATACAAAACAACCAAATTAAATGGTTTTTTCAACGATAAAAATATATCACTGGATGCATTAATTGGAATATGCACTGACGGTGAGCCAACAAACACTGGCCCACACGGTGGAATTATACGACGATTCGAATTGCTGTTAAAAAGACCATTGCATTGGTTCGTTTGCCTTCTACACTTCAACGAACTTCCGTTTCGGCATTTGTTTGAAGCTTTGGATAAATCAACCAGCACTGGACCAAGATCGGCAACCGGAAAACTGAGCCGTCAAATCGAAACTTGTGAAACTCTTCCGGTAAGTTATTGCTATCACTCATTTATTATAATTGTCAACCATTTTTAATTATTTTATTATTATATATTTTCAGGTGGTGGACGGCTTCCAGAAAATTGAGTTGCAAAATATGCCCCCTGCTCCAGAAAAAATTGAATTTTCCACCGATTCGAAGTACTTATACGACATGGCCCATGTGGCCCGGTGGATCTGGCTAACATCAAACCAGGGAAAATTGTACATTCCCGGTGGCTCACCAAGGCCGCTAGATTATTGCGATTATATGTGACAACGGAAAATCCAGATGCAAATTTAAGAATTCTGCTTGAATTTATAATTAAATGTTATGTGCCAATGTACTTCAATATCAAGTATTACAGCTCTGTCGTGTACGGCAGTGCATTATTTTTCAAGTTCATTGGTTGGTCACGATTTCTAGAACCTCGTTTACGCAAAATTGTCAATCAAGTAATTAAAGATAATTCATATTATGCGCATTCGGAAAATATCTTGTTATCAATGTTGTTTGATGATAGCAAAGAAAAGCTCGACTGTGCCATCAATAAAATTCTACGCTATCGAACCGATGTTGACGAGCCAATGGAACTTAGAGTTTATAAAAAACCAGATATAAACTTTAATTGCACAAGTTATACGGAAATGATCAATTTGAATGATATAAATATCGTATTTGAACCACCATTCACGCGAAGCATTCCGTACGATACATTGAAAGAATATTTAAATCAAGATGATCCACCGTTTAATGATCCAAAAATTCCATCACACATACAAGGAACGGAACGACATGTTCAATTGCTAGCTAGTGTTTCCAAACGGGTTATACCGGAAAATGTAGAGGCTGTTATGGCGACGACATTAGAGAGCCGTGCGAAATTGCCCAGACTTGAAAAGTAAAAAAGACTTCAAACAATAATTTTTTTTAGTTTCTTTTCTATAACTCACTTAAATTAATTTTTTCATTTACATATGTTCTGACTAAATAAATTTCTTAAGAGAAAAAATAGATATTAGCTGATTTTTTCATGTAAAGGCCAAAAATGGTGATTTTTTGAAATGATTGTATGGGGAACCCCCCAGGGGAGTTCCAGGGGGAGTGCCACTGGCATGGGTGGATCGGCCGTCCAAAGTTAGAGGGGGTCGGTCATACATTTGGACTCGATTGGAGCACTCTAAATGGGTCAAAGTGGGATTTTTAAAAATTTGCCCCTACCCAAAAGTTCGACCCAAATTGGGGGACATCAGAATTCGTTTTAGAGGTATGGTTCCTTCGGCAAAGTTTCTTATTTTGATTCCTAGAATACGATTTTCACAGAGCAATGAGCGATTTTTAAATCGACCCACCCTAATGTATATGAAAGCAAGAATTGATTGCGAAATATGCTCCCAATCAATGTTCTTTTAGCAAGTTTTATAAACAAGCGACGTATAAAATAATGAATAGTTTTTACTTACCTTCACCTTCATATCGCTGTGTTTGAAATATTTTCTTCTGACGCGGAATTCTAGTCCCACTCGTGCCACCTCTAAGCCATCGCGTCCGACAATGACAGGATCGTATTGCCGCAGAAATGTTCGGTTCACATGTATGCCATTAATTAACCAACTAAGATGACACGCTGGCTTTGATGGCCCCGATGTGCAGTTCATACGGACAGTGTCTTCACTACTGTATCGTGGCCGACCACCGGTTAGTATCGGTCCATGCTTTGGTGTAACTATAAAGAGAGGAACAGACAAGGGTAGACCAAGAATAAATACGGCATTAGCTAAAATATCTATGCCCGTATGCATTAATCATCTAGAAATTCCTAATTACACATTTATACGGCGAATCCTTATGAAATGTATTAAAAAGTGTTGGTTTTCTTTGAGATGGCCTCCGATTTCGCTCAAACTTTGCACACAGCCTTAATTCGTACTAAAACTGACAGAAATGTACTTAAAAATAAAAATTAAACGCCTGTGAAATATCGATAAAATAATCACGTTGGGTTAACCAAATTTCTTATAAGTTCCCTATTTCTAGATCTTATTACGGTGATTGGAAAGTTAATGAATCGAGTTATCTATCTGCCTTAACGTCTTAATAATTTTTTATATAAAATGTCTTTTGAAATGACGGGATCTTTAATATTTAAAATTACGATCCATATTCTAAAATTTATTTTTACCAAACCATATTCAACAAAAAAGACTAAAAGAAATTCCTTTCCGATAACGTCTTCCGTAATTTTCAATTGGGCGATACGCTCCATTGCTTTACATTTTAGACACAACTGATGAAATATCTCACGGCCCACAGTGGCGCAGTGCCCTAAATTTTTATTTCTTTCTACATATAACATTTATGAACATATTTCATGAAAAATACGAAAAATATACCTGAATGAAACGAAGGAGATACTGAAGGCGAGTCAATCAAAGACATAATTAGTTCGTTTTTTACCCTAATAGAAGTGGATTCAGTCCGCGGACCGCAGTCTCGACCGCCTTGATTTAAATCATTGTGATTACAATTTTGAGGTGTTACTTTGAGTATCTTTCGTACTCTCTATGAGTATACAGGGTGTCCCAGAAGTAACCTGCCAAACTTTAGGGGAAGGTAGGTGGGGGGAGAGCACCCTGATAAACAAAAAATTTTCAGGTAAAAGTAACATAAAATAATATCAGGAGTAGGTAATAATGTACCTTTGTACTATTTAGCATGTCATTGGTTGGTAACAAGAGCAACTTAAATTTTAATCTATTAAATACATTCTAGCGTGTCTCAGTCCTTTGCCCACAAAAGCGGCTATAACTTTTTTTTATATTCGAAATAGTAAGAGTGCCACCTTTCTAAAATCCTTATGAAATGAGCAATTTTTTTATGTATTGTAAAGTTATAGCTCAGTACGTTTTTTCCCCCCAGAGATAGTCAAAGTTGGGGAAGAAAATATCAAAAAGTTAAAAATCCCAAAATAGTACTAATTTTATGATGGTTCCTTACACATTTACCCAAAAGATTTTTGTTTATCAGGGAGTTCACCCCCCCACCTACCTTCCCCTCAATATCTTGTACATAAGGCCCTGTACTGCTCCGACTTTCTGCACGATCCGCACATGACCTGGGCGATAAATTCGTTCGAAAACTTCAGGTCTTCAAGGGTCTGGAGGTTTCGTGCAAATGGTTGGCTTCTTTTTATGCCAACTGCGTGAGGGCCGGGTACATACACAAGGCTTGGAGAGTAGTCAGTGTTGCGTTCACCTCCAAGGCCGGAAAAGGCTCTCTTGTTTCCCCTAGGGATTTTACGCCCATAAGTCTGTCTTCGTTTGTGCTAAAAATAACAAATAAAATGAAAATAAAGCAAAAATAAATAAAAGTATTTTAAACAAGTAAAGAAGTATAAGTTCGGGCCAAACCAAATTTTATATACCCGGCGCAATTATCAACTATTGTCGTTCCAACTTTCTTTAAACAATCTAAAAGACTATAATAGTCTTATTTATTGTTAAGAGAATTGAGAATTCGGAAACGCAGAAAACCAAAGCATCAGTCTCTTTTATTTCTAAACTATAATTGATGGATAATTGGAGTGCAATGGGGTATAGTCGTTGCGCTGGGTATGCAGTTACAGTTGCATGGCTATACTCAATCCCGACTCTTGCGTCCTCGTTCGCGCACTCTGGGCAACGTGAGCAACCCATGTGCGAGATGCGGTAACCAATCCGAGTGGAGCCTTGGGTCACGGCAGAAAGAGAGGGAGCTTCGGTGGGGCCACTCCGACTTATTCGGTTTAAGGGCTCACTGAAGTCTGCAGCGCTGCCCCCGTCATGATATCAAAATCGTGCTTGGCGACTTCAATGCCAGGGTGGGCAAGGAAGGGATCTTTGAAACTACCGTCGGAAAATCCAGCCTCCACGACGAAACGTCCGACAACGGATTGAGGCTGACCGACTTCGCCGGGGCCCGAAACATGGTAGTAAGCAGTACTAGGTTCAAGCATAAAAAGATCTACGTGGCTGTCTCCGGATCGAAAAACGAGAAACCAAATCGATCATGTTGTGATAGACGGAAGGCACGCTTCCAGTGTTTTAGACGTTCGCACACTCCGAGGCCCAAACATGGACTCGGGCCACTATCTTTTTGCAGCCAAGATACGCACCCGCCTCTGTGCAAAAAATGTGCGGCCAAATATGCAAGCAAAGCGTAACGTCGAAAAGCTGCAATCCCAACAGACAGCCAGCGCTTTCCTACTCGACTCTCACACCTGCTCTCAGAGAGAACTCTTCAACAAACCGACATACGCGGGCAGTGGAACCACATTTCCCGATCATTAAGTACCGCCGCCGAAGAAGTAGTCGGATTTCAGCGAGCCCGAAAGAACAACTGGTACGATGAGGAGTGTCAGGAAGCTGCAGAAAAAAAGGTGCCGCCTACAGGGCCACGCTGCGATCGGGCGCAACGTGCGCTATGTGAGACCGCTATAGGGATCTGAAGGGGAAAGCGAGACGTATTTGCCGCAATAATAAGAGAGAGGCCGAAATACGTGAGTGCGAAGAGCTTGAAATGCTGGCCGACAGGAAGAATGCATGAAAATTTTACCAGAGAGTTAAGCGACTTACTGAAGGTTTCAAGACCGGGGCGTACTCCTGTAAGAACAATAATGGCGGCCTAGTAACTGATGTCCAGAGCGTACTTAAATTATGGAGGAAACACTTTTCCGCCCTACTAAATGGTAGCAGCACGGAAAGTTGTGGAGAAAAAGAACCCGGGCATGCAGTCTATGATGACAGAGTCGACGTTCCACCGCCTGATTATGACGAGGTACATATAGCAATAACGCGGCTGAAAAACAACAAAGCTGCTGGAACTGACAGCCTTCCAGCTGAGCTATTCAAGTACGGTGGCGAGGAGTTGATAGGGTGCATGCATCAACTCTGGTGCAGAATATGGTCAGATGAACGCATGCCCGACGACTGGAATTTAAGTGTGCTCTTCCTAATCCACAAGAAAGATGACCCCGCCATTCGCGCCAACTACCGCGGGATCAGCCTCCTAAGCATAGGTTACATGGTCTTATCGAGCGTATTGTGTGAAAGACTGAAGCCCACCGTCAATGAACTAATTGGGCCTTATCAGTGTGGCTTTAGACCTGGCAAATCCACCATAGACCAGGTATTCACACTACGCCAAATCTTGGAAAAGACCCGCGAAAAAAGGATTGACACTCACCACCTATTTGTCGACTTTAAAGCTGCTTTTGACAGCACTAAAGGAGTTGCCTATACGCCGCTATGTCTGAATTTGGCATCCCCTTAAAACTCACACGGCTGTGTAAAATGACGTTGAGCAATACCACCAGCTCCGTCAGAATTTGGAGAGACCTCTCTGAGCCGTTCGCCACAAAACGGGGTTTCAGACAGGGTGACTCCCTTTCATGTGACTTCTTTAATCTGATGTTGGAGAAGATAATAAGAGCTGCAGAACTGAACCGCTCAGGAACAGTTTACTACAAGAGCGTGCAATTGCTGGCTTATGCCGATGACATCGACATCATCGGTAACAAAAACCGCGAAGTCTGTTCTGCCTTTTTCAAGTTGGATAGGGAAGCAAAGCGAATGGGTCTGGTGGTAAATGAGGACAAGACGAAGTATCTCCTGTCATCAAACAAACAGTCACTGTTGCCAGTTACAATTTCGAGAAAGTAGAGAATTTCGTTTACTTGGGAACCAGCATTAACACCGATAATAATGCCAGCATTGAAATCCAACGCAGAATCACTCTTGCCCCTAAGTGCTACTTTGGACTGAGTTGGCAATTCAGGAGTAAAGTTCTGTCTCGACGTACGAAAACCACGCGCTATAAGTCAGTCATCATGCCCGTGCTGGTATATGGCGCAGAAGCATGGACAATGACAACATCCGATGAGGCGGCTCTTGGAGTGTTTGAGAGAAGATTTTGCAGAAGATTTACGAGCCTTTACGCGTTGGCGACGGCGAGTGCCGCAGACGATGGAATGATGAGCTGTATGAGCTTTACAACGACATGGACATAGTGCAGCGAATTAAAATACAGAGGCTCCGCTGGCTTGGCCATGTCGTTCGAATGGACACCGACTCTCCAGCTCTGAAAGTATTCAACTCGGAACCCGATGGTGGTAGCAGAGGAAGAGGGAGGCCCCCACTGCGAGGGAAAGATCAGGTGGAGAAGGACTTGGCTTCACTTGGCGTTTCCAATTGGCGTCAGTTGGCACAGGGGAGAAACGACTGGCGTGCTTTACTGAACTCGGCAAAAATCGCTTAGGCGGTTACAGCGCCAAAAAAGAAGAAGAAGAATTGATGGAAATGTGCAATATGCGCAAACGCGGTTAGAAGCCGAATTGGAACTTAGTTGAACATATTGGGCTTTTCCAGCAATCATAGTTTAAAATTAAAAGAGACTGATGCTTTGGTTTTCTGCATTTCCGAATAGGGGGATTGTTATAAGTGTTAACTTGAAGGAAATTAACGTCTTCAGTTATTCAAATATCGGAGTTTTCATATACCCAAAAATTATCGTTATACGGGATACCGGTGCAATTCTAGTCCGATTTAAATAATTTTCACTGAATTGCTTTTTCGTACCAAGGTTATTAAATACACCACGTATGGTAGAAATTGTTAAATCGGTTACCGAGATAAGTGGGCGGCGTCACGCCCAAAATCCAAAAGTTTGTAATAATCTAATTAGTAAAGC